ATTCGTCCACCTGTGACTGAAAGTCTATACTTTGAGAACTTCATCCGATTCCTTCCCAGGACAAGTTACGCTTGGGGAGCTAAAGAAGTCGAGTTTGGTTAAGTGGTATTTCTAAATTTGCATTTAACAACAAGTCAAATTGAAATGTAGCCATAATTTTTTAAGACAGTTTTTTTTTATTTTGCTGGATTTTATTGCTGTCGAGTGTCGACGTGATATCACGTCAGTCCATTTCACGTTCGTGGCGTCAATTTTGTTTACTTATTGCTTTTAAATGTTTATAAAAAAATACCGGTGTTTTTTTTATATGTACTGTTGTTTTTTTTTACTTATTTACATTGAAATGTGGAAATGATTTATTTGTTACACAATTCTGAACATACATTCAGGCAGTTACTTTATCCGAAAAATTTAATATACTACTCTGTCAAGAAAGTACCGGCAAAAAGTCAATAATACACAAAATGTTTGTTATTCATCTAAATTTATTTTATCACCTTCAAAGTATGCTCCTTCAGAAACGATACACTTACGCCAACGAATAATCCAATCATCGAAACTTTTTTTAAACGCTGTTTCCGGAATTGAGTTCAGTGCTCGCCGCGAATTCTCCTTTATGTCTTCTAACGATTGAAAACGGGTGCCACGAAGGGGTAATTTGAGTGTGGGAAAAAGAAAGAAGTCGGCTGGAGCCATATCTGGTGAATATGGTGGCTGCTAGATGGTGTTTGTTGAGTGTTTGGACAAAAAATCGTTTACAATGATGGCCTTGTGCGAAGGCGCATTATCGTGATGCAAAATCCAAGAATTTTCTTTCCACATTTCTGGCCTTTTTCGTCAAATTTGTTCTCTTAAACGCCGCATAACGCTCAAATAATATTCTTTATTTACCGTTTGACATTCGGGCAAGAATTCTGAATGCACAACACCGCGATAGTCAAAGAAAACAGTCAACATGACTTTGACTTTTGATCGACTTTGACGTGGTTTTTTCGGTTTTGGTTCAGTTGGAAGGCGCCATTCCGAAGCTTGTTGACTAGTTTGCATGTCAAACTCGTAAACCCACGTCTCGTCACCAGTAACAATGCGTTTCATGAATGTTGGGTCGGTATTGACTCGTTCTAGCATGTCCTCAGCGACTTTCATGCGATTTAGTTTTTGAAGAAAATTCAGGTCTTTTGGGACTAGCCGAGCGGCAACACGTTTCATACCCAAATTATTTGTTAAAATGGTAATCGACTCGTGAGATACAGAAAGTTCGGCGGCCATCTCTCTCAAATTAAATGAGGATTTTCAGTCACTATTTCCTTGACTTTTGCGATGTTAACTTCAGTTGCAGACGTTGATGGCCTACCAGAACGAGGCAAATCTTCCATCACATCTCGACCGCTTTTGAACGCTTTGTGCCACTCATAAGCATAAGTCGTGCACATGCTGCTGCTCATTAATAAGAGTTCCTTGAAACTAGTGGAGTCTCGGTGAAATCAAGGGAATAAGTCGTTATATTCAAAAAATTTTGTGTGTAGGTATCACGATATTCAAAAATAGCAACAGTTATACAATAGAATTCGTAAATTTGAGGCGTGTCTCTATTTATTATAATTATCACATTAAACATGTACCACGAGTATGCAAATTTTTACGACAAAGTTCAATGACACGACCACCCGACGTAATTTGATTGTAGATTTGAGATCCGAAAACAAACGATACCTAAGTAATAAAAAGATGCATCTTATCATAGAGTTTGTATTACTGGAATGAAAGTGCTAGCGCCGTATGACCGATAAGGAATGATAGCGTTTGATATTATTACCTACGTACTGTTTGAGCCCGGCTCGGCTAAGTACATTTAAGATATGAGCTTTTAATTTTAATAGAAAATGCTTCTAAAAATATCTTCAGTATTTATGGAGTGCTCTCGTATTATGTTTTATTTAGTCCAACTTCTTAAATGAAGGCAACCCTAGGGTTGATTGGTCAATTTTATATTACACGAAAATGACATAAATACACGTCTGTGATATTTTTTTCAGAAATACTTATTTTTTATTCAGGATAATACATATAGGAGCCATATAAAGTATTTTACATTTAAACTGCCCATTTGCCCACGATTCCATAAAATATACGTCCAGCCAAAGAATCATCATCCAATCCTATTTGATCCAGTCGTTCCCGAGTTTAGCGCTCTGTGACGCATTCTACAACCAATTTTGTTTAAAATTATTCAAGCAAACGTAGCTTTATAGCCAACAGTAGTTTCTACCGTAAAAATCTTTCGTTTTCCTTCACGAAAAACTTGTTCAAATAGTGTTGCATTGAATAGTGAATCATTGAAGACCTAGTGCCCTCATTCTTCAGCCACGCTAGGTAACCTAAAATATAATTCGGGCACTAGGTTACCTAAAACCTATAGGCTTGAAAGTGTCATGAGATAATAAATTGAATTTTTATCGTACTATGTGCGTAACACTGTTTCTTTTAAAACTTAATTAAACATACGATTTATTTAAACCAATTTCGTGGTAGCGAGGGCAATTTATTTAAAAATGAAAACCTGATTTTAACTGTTATGAAGTCTGGCGGTCTCTAAGTAGTTTAGCGATTGCAAGAGTAAATATACGTTTTTTTTTATGTAATAGATCGGCAAACGAGCAGACGGATTACCTGATGGTAGGTAATCAGCGCCGCCCATGAACACCCGCAACGGAGGAGTTACGAGTGCGTTGCCGACATTTTAGGGATAAGGGATTTGGAGATTTAGGGATTGGGGGTGGGGAAGGATTGGGTTTCCGGTTATTATCCATCTTTATTCATTGTTCACGGGCCCTCCTTCTCCCAGCCTTGTCCTAAGTATAGTAAATCTCTAATTTTTATAAATCGTAGATTAAAGACTTTTGTTTTTGGTTTTTTTTTGTATTGATAAGCCATTCTAATCACTATAACCATCGGTTTGCTTTATCAAATCGGCTTTTATCTACCTTTTTATTATAGTAAGTTTAATTACTTAGGTATCTCAGTATTTACCCAGTTATCTATACAAGAAAGGGAATAATTACCAATGCGAAAACACTGAAATTCTATATCTATAGTTTTCCAAGAAAACATATGAATACTACAAGTTTCTGGAAACTAATGAATTCAGATTGCTGTAAACATCAACTAGGTATTTACAACAAGTAAAAATACTTACTCATAAAACTTCTCCTCGATATTGGCCATGCGTTGGAAGTAAGTCATGGCTGCGGATCCGTTTAGCGGTGCATACTGTATCTTGTATTGTTTAGACAGATCATCCAGAGACTCTATGGGCGTATCCAATCTGGACACAGTCAGAAACGCCGCCAAATTCGCCGTGTATGACGCGATTATAATAAACCTGTGTGGAAAATTACGGTAAAATTGTTCTTATTCGCTAAGACTGAGAACTGGATTTAGATTTAAATATTAATCTGACTATTGTTCAATATCCTGGAAAATAATATTAACCTACGATTCGCTAGTCTGTGTTATTATATTTTGTTAGCAAAAGAAATTGATAGGAGTATTTTTTCTAATAAGTATTGTTTTATACAGAACTAGCTACTCTCGCGCGGTTTCACCCACTGCTCGGCTCCATTTGATTGTAGCGTAATATTTTATAGCACTTAGGAACATTGTAGTTCACTGAAAGATTTTTTGGCAATCCGACTAGCGGATCCAAAGACCCCCTACATACAAACAAACTTACAAATTTTACCTTTTTATAATATTATAATATAATAGATATTATGCTAGAACATTTCATACAAGTATTTCATCATATGTGTATTTTCTTACCCAAAAAGCCACCATGTAGCAGCCAGTAGTCTTCCAGATAAATTCTTAGGCGCCTCACCCCCTCCTTGGGGAGTAAGTGACGTCATACAGAACCATAGACACTCCTTGAGAGTAAACTCTCTTTTCTCCTCGTCCTCTTTGTATTTTTCTCTATTGTTCTGATAGCTATACGGACTCCATTTGTCAAAAACCCACATAAGAAAACTGAAAGGTAATTGTTTTTATTAATAGGTATCTATTTACAATTTTTTTTCATATGAAAGACCTCGTAAGTATAATTTGCTACATTACATTAGTTTCATGTTAAAAATAGTTACTTAAATAATATGGGTTTTTTTAAGTGCACCTCCATTTTCTTCACTATTAACCTAATGCATATCAAATAAATTACCGTATTACAAATTAACTACTTGATTACGGTACCTAAACATGTTGTAAGTACTAACAAATGTTTTAAAATTATCGAAATCTGATGGCATTTTTATCATATTTACAGCAAAAATCTAGCTAAAAAGCGTATTACAAACATACTGATTTGCACACACAAAATATTCAACATCACAACGAATTTTAGGTTAGGTTAGGTTAGGTTAGAATGCGGCAGATCGCGCGGCGCCGAGAGGAGCTCCGTCAGGTCCTGGTGGCGGAATGGCGGCAGAGGCTTCTGCGCCCTACCGCCGGCCTCGCTACCGTCGAGGCGATCCGGCCAGTACTCGACGACTGGCTCGGGAGAAGGCATGGCTCCCTGTCGTTCAGAGTGACACAGGTATTGTCGGGGCACGGTTGCTTCGGCAAGTACCTGTGTCGCATAGACAGGGAGCCGGACGCTCGGTGCCACCACTGCGTCCATTGTGGGGAGGACACGGCGCAACACACGCTCGCCGAGTGTGTGGCTTGGGAGGAGCAGCGCCGTGCCCTCACATCAGAAGTAGGAGGCGATCTGTCGCTGCCGGCCGTGGTTCGTAGTATGGTCGGTAGCGCAGAGTCGTGGGACGCGGTGGTGTCCTTCTGCGAGGACGTGATGTCGCAGAAGGAAGCTGCGGAACGGGAGAGGGAGATCTCCACTCCCTTCCCAGGCCGCAGAAGACGCACCGGGCGCAGAAGAAGGGCGGATAACGCCCTCTTCCGCCCCTCATGAATGGGTCCAGGGGCGACGGACTTGGGGAAGTCCCCGCCCCCTATCCGATGGACCCGAGGCGAAGGCGCGCGCGGTGTCTACGCGCGCCTCTAAGAGGATGCACGGGGTAGTCGAACACCTCACTACCCCGTGCTAGAGACGAGGCCCGGACAGACCGGGCCAGCACTAGTGTGGGGCTGCGGAAGAATGTGGATTCCCGCGGCCCCGTGCGCACGTGCGAGGAGACACCGGGGTGGTTTTAGCCGGTAAGAGTCCGGCACGCCCCTCCGCCTCTCCCCAGGCGGAGGAAGTCCATGAGGATTTCCCCCCGTAAAAAAAAAATAAAAAAAAAGGTTAGGTTAGAATAAAGAAAAACAAAATTACTTTTAGTTATCAGATAGTCATTCATCATCAGCCTATAAGTGCCCACTGCTGAGCAAAGGCCTCTTCTCATAGGGAGAAGGTTAGAGCATTAATCACCACAATACTTAGTCATTCAGTTCATCTTTAAAGAACTAACAGTCTCTCCAAACTAATATTATACTTAAATGCGAAAGTAACTCGGTCTGACTGTCTGTCTTTTCTTCACGCCTAAACTACTGAACCTATTTGTGTGAAATTTGGTACAGACTTTGTAACTCGAGAAAGGACAAAGCTAGTAGGTATATCTATAATTGATTTATTTGGTAAGCTTCAATGTGTAATTCAGTATTTTTTGTGGTAGATACTTAATTTAAATTGTTGAAAAAAATGATATTTAGATTTAGTACAACCCAAATAAGACATGTACCTAAGCCCATAAAAATGCATGTTCGATGAAAAATAATGGCTTCTAAAACAATTCTCTATAAGATTCAAATCCCAATGTTTTAAACAAATAAATTGCTAGTGTTCCTAGTCTAAACAAGCGTGACCTCACACATTATAACATTTCCCGTTAGCTAACCTATATTTATGTATATTTATAGGCACGTATTTGAGTCAGAATCAAAATATATAACACTAGCCACTCCCGCGCGGTTTCACCCGCTGCTCGACTCCAATTGATTGTAGCGTGATGTTTTATAGCCTTAGCACTCGGGAATATTGTAGCTATCAATAAGTGATAGAATTTTGGAAATCAGACCAGTGGTTCCAAAGATTACCCCCTACATAGAAACTTACAAATTTTACCTCTTTATAATATTAGTATAGATAGACTAAGTTTCCGCCTGCGGTTTCTCGCGCTTAGATTTATATCGAGTCAACGCGTCAGACTTTACGAGGCAGTTTCCTTAATTCTTCTTAAAAAAAAAACCAACTTTTTTATAAAGATCAACTGTGATATTTTGCTGAATGATTATTTTATCTATTTTATCGGCTATTTTATCTAAGGTAAAAATCGTTCCTCAAAAGTAGGTACGCTTTCCGATTGTAAAGATTTTTAATTGATGGTTTAGTTAGATATCTATGTGCTTATAGTTAACATGTAAGAACTTCCTAATAAATAAGGTATCCGATGTTGCATACTGTTCACTGTTCAGTGCAAAGATATAAACAAAAACAAACATTAATGAGTATTAATTTTTCCACTTTTATTATTTATTTAAGTAGAACTTAGAACAACATACGCGTGTGGTTTGTTCTTTTTAGTTGTTTTCAGTCTAGTAGGTAAAGTGTTTATTATTATGAAATTATGTTTATACATTTTAATAAGTATAAATAGGAAGTGGGTTGGTTTTTCCTCATTTAATTATGTCATGCTCCCAGCCTGGCCGAATACGAGCGGCCGCAATTGCGGTTTTATTCCGCGAGTTATTTTAATACAATAAAAAATCACGCTATTAAAAACCGCGGCGAGAAAATCATCAAATGACTTCTCCCGCCCAGGGCAGTGTCAGACTCTTACTGGCTAAAAACCACCCCGTTCCTTCAACTGGCGTCCGTGCATCGTGACGCGGGTTCGATTCCCGCACGGAACAACTCTTGTGTGATCCACAAATTGTTGTTCCGGTTCTGGGTGCCATTTGCACGTGAAATTGTATGTTTGTTACCGCACCCATGACACAGGAGAAAATCCTAGTGTGGGGCAACGTTTTTAAAAAACAATAAAACCAGACTTATAGAGCTTGCCCCGCTACCATCACGCGTTAAAAACCGCGGCGGTAACGCACCAGTGCAGCTGGGCCTTAATTTGGTTTTGCCTGCTTTACCAGGCAGGATGAAAGGTTTTTTTTTTTCGTTATTTCAGACTATAATCTATCTCCGTACCAATTTCTATCAAAATCCATTAGGTAAGTAATTCTAACTTAAAAGAGTAACATCCATCTATTTTCACCTATTGTTTAGTAAAATTTAAGATTGTACACCTTTCGATGTTTGTGAAGATTTGAAATTATTTGATATCATTTAAACGCAGTTTCTTTTTAACAACTTCTGTTAGAGGAAGACCGCTTATTCGTCTTTACTATAATTATTATAAGTATTATTTTTCCATGTTCTTTGTTTTCTACCAATTGTCTCCTATACACGTTTGTTCATTATGGTCACCATATTGTATTTTTTCTACGAATTAATTATTTTAACATCACAATAACGTCTGCTTCATTATGCACGAAAACATACAAATTGTTTCAGCGATATCTTATACAGATACCTACGGTAATACAAGAGCTTCGTATCCAAACTAATTCTGAATCCTAAACGTAGTAACTTAAAGCTGAAAATCGAAGAACGGAATATCGGGAAGTACTTGTTGCTATGCGCACTAACTTTAGTAGTCCAATGAAACTGTGACTAAATTTTCGGCGCATACCGGCCAGTAAAAAAAGAACGCTTCGAAATTCAATTACATTTAGAGTTCTTTTTTTAAACGTTTAGTTTTATCGAAATAAGTTTTCCTATACTTAAATGATCCCTGCTGATAAGACTTACGTGGGTCTATTAAAATAGACCTTCGTATAATCAAAATAATTTCTATTTTTTTTAATAGTTCTAAACATAGTTTTTTTAGATAATATTTATCCGATTACTTGCTTATTAATACCGTTATCAGCAACTCATATTTTTGACTAGATATCTTTACAATCTGATTTAGTTCACAGTAAAAAACCCAGTTGTTTACGCATTTATAAATGCAAACCAAAAAGCATTCAAATCCTAGGATAAAACATGGCTGAAGTGTGCTCAACATTCATACACACTTTACATCGTATTCGAACGAATGTTCTAGAACTGTACGTAAATTCTTACAAGAGCGAAGGTCTAATTAATAAGGATTCCCTTGGCACGTGCAATAACTAAGTTCATAAATAAATAAATGGTAACATGAGCGTACATGAGGCATTAGGTCCATCGTTTGACCTCGTTCCATAAAATCAGATAAGAAATAATGGAAGCAGGTGGGCACTAGCCCATCGATCGCGTTATGTATCGTAATAAATGTCAAAATGTCACGGATGAACACCCATTTTCAGATTACGAACGCTACAGCGCTTTATAAACGCTACATTAAAATACTTGTTTTCGAACTAAAACCGTCTCTCTCTCTTTCAAACAAAAACAGACAAGGATAAAAATAAGGTCACCTGCAAAGAATTCGGAAATTGTAAGATGTTGTGGAGCAGTTGAGGTGTCCTTACGAAACAGGTTTCTGCAACGTTACCTATAGTTAACTGAATGATGTCATTGGATTACCTGGTAAAGAAATAAGCAGCCAGTATCGACAGCCAAACGTCATTTTCCAGGACAGTTAGGAATTTAAATAGGGATGTCGGAGTTCTTGGCAGTTTCATCATTATGGTTATCCCAACTAGATCATAGTAGGGCACGGTGAAATCTACGACGTTTTCCCTTTCAGCCATGACAGACAGCGACGACAGCCCTATATCTGCTTTCTTATCAACGAGCTCTTTGATAATTCCGTTCCAATTTCCATTTTCGTCCATTGTCCCGAAGTTGCCGTCGGGCGCTAAAGTTATTTCATAATCGAATTTAACGATTGCTCGAATCTCTTCGATGAGGTCGATACAGTAACCTTTAAAACCTTTGGGCGCTTGGTCGTCCCTTATAATAAACGGCTTTTGCTAAAAAACAAGATGATTCTCAAAAGCAGCGCTAAAAATTATCCGTTTCTTATCAAAATTCCAGTCCAACGAAAGATGAAAATGACAGCGTTGTTTGAACAGTTTGTTGTTAAGTAAACTAACAAATTTTTATCAAGTTGCCAACAGAATTTTAAACAACAGCAGAGTTCATTTACCTACCTCGACAGTGACGATTCTGTACACTAGCTGCGCGGAGTAATTACTCATGTTATTGGGGTCAGTCAAGGTTAGGTTCGAAGAAAGGCCAGCTTTCCAGGAACCTAACGAGTGGCTACTTATAGACGCCCCGTCTTTGACCGTGATGGCGAGCAGATCAGTGCTAAACTCCATGTAACTTCTCCCATTCATGGGGTCATCTGGCGGAATATAAAACGGAGCATACGTAGGCGTCTCTTTTATCTGGAAAAAATCAGTAACTGGTAACCGACAGTTACGGTTTGGGCGATTACATCTAAAACTGTGTAGGTACTGCCTAAATGTGTCAACGCACCTCTTGGAACGCCGTTTTAAGATCCAAGGTCCTGTTTGGTGTATTCTTGCCGTCGTAATCGTCGCATGTAATATATTTCATGTCGTTTGGCCACTTGCCAGAGTCCAGTAGTGATCTGGAAATTCAGAAGCGTGAACTCTCATGGAATAAGCCAGGATATATTTAGACAAACCACATTGCACGTGGTGTACCAACGTAGAAACTGGTACACTAGAACTGGAATAGTAAAGGTCATTACTTGATCGTTAAAAACGTTCTCAAAGACAAGTCGAAGTAGAAGGCGGATGTGATCTCTGGCTCGCCGTTCATGCTGTACGTCGTTTTAATCTTTCCCAATCGGTCCCTGCTGTTCGCGTCTGGAGTCGGCCGTATGTGTACGATCGTTGCATTTTTACAACCACAGCTTATATCCCCCTTCTCCAAAGATAAAGCAAACCATGCCGTTTTTCTACCAAAATACTGGTTTTTATCAGCAGCATCTAAAACATTCTTTATAGTTCTTAAACTTCCAACTATAAAAAAATTCACTATGTCTAAATTCCGAAGACTTTCAAGTTGAGTTTTAATTTCGTTTGCTTCAAAACTCTTCACAGGCGTGATCACGTGTCGAGTCGGTATATTTTGTAGCAGAGATTTGTATTTGTGGTCCATAACTGTAAATAAACAGATTTAATTATCAAGAACAGTTAAAATGACTTGGTAACTAACAATAAATTTCATTAACGGATAAAGTTAGGCGGGCGCTATCTAAATGGTTGCAAACTGGGACCTTGAAAGGCTTGACATAAACGCTATATTTGTTCTAATTTCACGCTTGGTGTCGGAAACATGTCATTATTGATTGATGCGATAAAACGAAGCGTTTGTAAAAATTTTGCTTTAAACTTACCAAAGAATTCATCAAAAATAATAGCAGCGTTTGTAATGTCTTGTTTAGTGACGATAGCTCTAATAGCTTCTGGTAGAATATCGGCTGGAGGCATCACTTGCAAAAGAAATCTTGTTTGATTTGCATTCAAGGAGCGCCACTGCCGCAGGTCGCCGACTTGCCCAAAGGACCCTGATATAGTGGGCAAACTCAAAGCTTCTGTGAACGACTTAATCGTTTCAGAGCCCACGCCTGTCATTGTAAAGTCGAGTACTACATGAGGAGTCTTTTTTGCTGAGAGCATATCGTTGTACTTTCTGCAAACTACAAACCAAACCTGTGATTATTATGCCTAATCTTTGAATCCAGAGTCAAAAGTACCTGAAATATAATTAATTCTTAGCTAAGAAAAAATGTTATATTAAATATTCTTACCGTTTTCCAAGAAAACCTTTGCGTCGGTCCTGTTCCCCACAACAATCACAGGGTCCACAGCAAGACCCAAACTAGGGTTTCGTCTCACATATTCCTTCGCCACTTCAAAAGCTTTTTCAGCTAAAGCATTGCTTTCTTCGTTGATCAATACTGCGGATGTAACCATGAAAATTTGTTGGTTTAGGAACAGAATTTGTTTAAAAATAATCGTACAATTTACGAGGTTTACTTATCCGCAATCGATTACTAACTAGAACTTTGTATTCCTGACCCAATTTCGTACAGTGACTCATACCACAAGATAAAATAAAATAAAAACTTACAGTTGGGTATCCGAAAACCGCGACTGAAAGTAAGCTTAACACAAGATACTTACAAACATTAATATTTTGCGTTGTTTGTCCAAAAGTAATACGAATGAAATAGATAAGAAGAAAAACAGTACGAGTAGACATGATTCCTATCACTATATTTTATCGGACATCGTCACACCTCCCACCCTATAACCCATTGACTGGTCGCCCAGCTATCTGTCCAACGACTGAGGGTGTAAACCGACTTCCTCCGTGTGTGTACTGCATAGTTTCCAAGGCAATACTCGACCTTGAATTGGCTCGTCCTATCGATGTATTGGTCATCCATCACTGTTTGTCCAAGAACATAAACACAACATATCCACCTAGGCACCTACGTACCTACTTAGTAATGATTTACCTGGTGGTGCGTTTAAGAGTTAAGTAACACTAAACTGTTGATTCAAAATTGTTTTGAACTTTTATACTTGGGCCCGCACATTATAGCTAGGTTTATAATTATTGCTTTTTTAATTACCTACATCCTGATAGTGCGCGATGGATATAAATAGGTACCTAAACAAATGAGTAAAAATATGTTCCCAACTCGATGCATCTGCATTTCGGCACTGAGTAAGTCAATATGAAAATAAAAGTACATTTTTGTAGAGTTCCTAAATCAACAAAATGACCCATCACCCATTCTAATCGACTAAAAACCACCCTGTTCCTACCGCAATCCTGGCCTGCTTCAGACAAGGGTTTCGGTACATTATACGCTTGCACCCGCAAACCATGCTAGGTAATGTTCAATCATACAGTCAGTTACATCAGACGCGTTGTATAAATTTTCATCAGCTTTTTTGTGTGAGGGGAAAATCATCACATGACTTGGCCAGGGCCGGGCGGGAGGGAGTGTCAGACTCTTACTGACTAAAAACCCCCCTATTCCTTCTCCTGCTCTGGGCCGAGGTCGCGGTGTGCCTCATTGCGCTTACCCCGCAACCCCGGCTGAACGCTACGCGCCGTACGCTCGGGCCTGGTTCTGGTCGGGCGGCGAGCTGCCCTTACTCGCCGACCGCAGGCCCGTGCTTACGGTGGCCGGAGATCGTCCCTTGATCCCCGACGCCCGTAGTGTCGCCAGTTGCGGCTGCTGGGGCGTGAGGATTGCTCCCTCGCGCGGGCCGCCTCTCTTTGCGAGCATGACTGCTTCACAAAAGAAGGAGACGGCGTCCCAGTTCCTCTCACTCCGCACCATGGCCTCAAATTTCCATCAGCTTAGATTCACCATTTTGTTTTGACTTATCTTTTTAAGTACCTACAGTAGGCAGGTAATAATGTTGGAAAACCAAAAACAATGTTATGATTGGACTATTTTATTGCCAGAAATGTTTTACAAACACTAACTCCATAGTTGAGAGAAGTAAAGTGTAAACTGTACACACTACTTTATATCTAATACTAAATGTACTTTGAATCAAGTTATTAATTAAATTGTAAGTTATAATCTGAAAGAGTTAGTCACAACTTTAATACAATATTATATCAGCAAGAACACAATGTTACTTACTCGACAGTATGAAGATTCGTTTCCACAAGGGTTATCTTACATTCGAGGTCTGTTACTATCACAAATTATAAGAAAATAAATTAGAAAAACAGGATATAAGAAAAATAAAGTTGTCCATAGAAATTACAAACAAAAAAATTAGCACACAAAAGTTAAGTCAATATGAACTATCACCTTATTTGTCAACTTTGAACTTTAATTAAATTCCAAATTCTTAAAATTAGTGTTACAATGTGAACAATTGTTTTAATAACTGGTCTTCCCAGCGCACCGGTTGGAATTTTAAGCGTAAAATAAACACTGGTACAAGTCATATATGCATAATAAAAACCAAAACTCCGTCCGACTCGCGAAGAAGTTATGTACTTCGTTCACAGTGCAAACCGTAACCAAAATGTCAAAGGAATGTTCAAATGGTTAAGTAATAATGCCTATGAAATACAAAAAATGTGCGTTATTTACCTGCTAACTTAAATTTACAACTGAATTAATTATCTAACTTTAATTAATCTTATTTTTATCTAAAATCCTTGTTTTTCGGAAGCTGTTTTATAAAACGCGTCGTTCACAGAACGGATTGTGAATTGATTTCACACTTTGTGAATTACTTTGGCAGTACATTACTGGCGTAATATGTAAACTGATACATTTTACTTTCATCAATTCAATAATCCACCGCTACTAGTCCGTTGAGATAGACACCAATACTCAAAAACAGCATACAACACCTAAACCGACTCGTGCAATGATGTTCAGTTCACTGCGATGCACACTCCAGTCGCCACTGACAGTAACATTAAATTTACAATTTACAGGTACTTCACAGGTAAGATTTAATACATAAAGTATTATAAACCTAAACATAAGTGCGGTCACAAAAGAGCTCAACTCCTTATTGTACAAGTTATTGTTAAACAAATAAGTGTGGGTAGGAACTACTAAGACTCCCTAAGTGTCTGGGGAACTAAAAGTTTGTAGGTAACTACACACAACATAATACCTGTATGTGTGTTTGGGCAGTCTATTATATTATATCATCTATTGTCTGTAAATTTTGGCATGTTAGGAAGTCCAAGTAGTTAAATAGTTTGGTATTGTATATGTAGATATGTATTAGGGTTGAGTTGAGCCCTAATGAACATTGTTGCATTGCAGTAAACCAAGCGAGGTAGTTTGGTTAGAATTCTTAAGCAGCCGCCTCCTCAGCTTCTGCAGGGGGCGCCTCTTCTGCTACTTTCGCCTTCTTCTCAGGTGTGGTCTTTTCCACATCACCATTATCCGTGGAGATTGATTTCCTCTTCACTCCAGCTTCTTTCTTTTCTGTAAAGCAAACAGAGACTATTAAGAACAATAAGGAATAAGGTTTTGTTGAGATGTGGTAGTACACATGATTTGCAGATAATAAATTTATGAAATATTATAAGTGGTTCAGCTTACCTGTAGCATCGCCATTCTCAGTGGCGTCGTTGCTCTCTTCGGCGTCACCGTTCTCAGCAGGCGCGTCCTCTGGGGCTTCGCTGCCATTCTCCTCCTTGCCATTGCTTTCAGGTGCCTCTGCGACCTTTTTGGCGGGAGATTTCTTGACTGGCGAGTCTTTAGCCTCAGTAGAGGTTACCTCCTCAGGTGCGACGTCACTGAAAGCATCATCATATATGATTTAGAGACAAATCATGTGTACCTCTTTTTCACTAGGTTGTCTTTATAATTAGAGACTACAAACATCTCATAAGATTTTCTTCTAATAGGACTCAAATTTACCTACATGGTTAAGTTATATGATTTTACGGTACAGCTTTGAATATCAGAGAATCTTCAATCTCAATACCTACGCACCGTGGCTAATATACGAAGTACGCGAGTTCGTAACGGAACATAACAATGCAACAGTTCCACACGCGGCCAATGCTCAGCGGTTAAGTGGGGCGGCATAAAAGGAAAAGTCTGCCGGAACAAAAACAAGTGGCTGTTGCGCAAGGCTGCATGTGGGAAAGTTGCAACATAGGAAACCGAACGTAACCGTGATCACCTTTGCTGAATGAATACGTTACTCGCTCCAGTGGACTACACACCACGGTAACTCGTAAAGCGTTAAAAATAACTAATGACAACACGCGTCGCCCGCGATAACGTAACCGAACAACCTGAGTTGCAAAACTCGAGGTCTCGGCAAATTCAAACGAGCGCGCGCCCGGCGTCGCTTCGCGCCGGCACGCCGCGCACGCAGCGCCATCTTGGATAAAACAACCGGCCCCGCGCCCGCTACCCGGCGTGCTTTTAACTTTTCCACTTTATTATAATACGCCATAACAGGAAAAATCATTAAATATGAACGACACTCCGCATTCTGCTAAACACAACGCGTTTAGAATTATCACGGCACATAATGAGAAATGCTCAATATTCGTTTATCAGTAAAATAACATTTTCCCGCGTGTCTTATCTTTGGCGGCGTTTACAAAATAAGCATCACCAAACTATCATAGCGCGCCTGAACTTCTATTGGTAGTAGCACACTACGGCAATAAATCAAAACTTATTTTAAAACATTATAGAATCACTGTACTTTCACAGAAAACACGAATTTCACAAATAAATAGGAAGCCATTTTGATCACGTTTTCGAAGCCGCCAAAAATAATATATTGTTAAAGTTACTAAAACTGAATGAAATCAACTAAAAAACTTACTTTTTCTCAACTGCTGCGTCTGCCATTGTGTAAATTAGTTTTAGGGGATACTTTTAAATTATAAAGAAATAATTATAAGCACGTGTTACGCACAACGTACAACAATGTTCACTGCACAAACACCGACGACCAAATGAAGGAGGAAGAAGGAAAAAATATAATGCGCGACGCCTCGCGCGGGGACTCGCATTCGTTGTGAAGCTAGCTGCGTCTACTTCAAGACGGTGAAACAATATTATATCGTTTGCATTAGTTAGAAAGAGATAGTTGTATGTTTAATTTTCATCTTCAGACAACCTTGAAAACACCCGAAACAACACAGGCAAGCAACAGTATATCTTTCTCTTTCCAGACTGTTTAAAAAATACAATCGTTAAAATGTTCCAACAAGACAAAATAATAAATGGCTGTTCTTCTGGAAAATTATTAATACAATTTATATGATTTTACACCTGAAGATCAATAACAATAACTGAAAATATGTTGCTATCTGTTTACAAAGTAACAGTGCTGTTGCTATCACTTACTACGAAAAACCTATTTAAGGAAATGCACACTCGCGTAGCTAGATTACCGGTAACCTAAGAAAGAAAGCAATGAATGTACATTTATTTAAGTACCTGTATAAAACTTGCACTATGAAGTTTATCAGCTATAGAGTACTAAACGTAACTATTTAATAATAGTTTAGCTTCGTCGTTTTAGTCGTTACACACACGCCTAACCCAACCTAGGTATTCATTACACACACACAGGTCAATTGAATGCAGGGTACGAGTAATTTATGGCAGTTCAGTTACTATATTCATGTATATACTTACGTACCTTCGCATATCTATCTATCGGTATTTTTCATTCATGTGTGTAGTAAAATAGTATTCGCGTAAGCGTAAGGTACCTACCTGCATATCAGCTTACGTTGTTATTTTATGTAATCGTAAAGTTATTACGAAAGGCTTATACTTAGGTAAATTACTGTCACAATCATAGATCAAAGGAAGCAAGTGCATACCGTACTAGTAACAATCTGCTTTAGTACATTTCATTCAACAGATACCTAACGCAATTTGCGAAATAAATTAATGAAATTAATTAATGCACCTTCATCTAGATAGGTATTTAACTTATAGCTGGTGCCTATGCTTAATTTAAAAAAGAGTAGGTGTTACCGTAAACGAAGTGTCCGTGAAATACAATTTGCGCGTGTGGTTTTTCGAGAGGTCAACGCCCGATTGTCTTGATCAACCTACCTACCTGTTTTAAAGAATACACCTAAATCTGTACGTAGATAGCTACGTAGAATATTTCTATAGAAAAAAGTAAGCATTAATTAAAGATTAGATTCCATTTTTAAATACATTTCACCCAATCATTTAAAAAAAACAAGCACATTGCAATGAAAACGTGTTTATTTCCCGCCAACTATAGTTTACTTGTGCCAGAAAAGCGTAAGTCCGAGTTTTATCCGAATGACTTCTAAAACCGAAATCACAAGGGTATGACGAAACATCGAGCTATTCCATTTTGTTCTTTATAAGGTAACAATAAGAGCTAATGCATGTTAAATTGAAAGCAAAATATAACATTGTCCCGTAGCAGGTCGATGGCTTTTAAAAGAAATCTTGGCACTGGTTGATGATTTCGTCAGAATATGAATTCGTCAAGCTGAACGTTTGTGAACTGATGTGTCCACGTGCACTTGTAGTACTTATCTACAGGTAGCTGCCTAAATACGTATGCAATCTAATGCAATATTCAATTGATAGAAATAGCTAAAAATAAATAGACAAGTACTACAACTTCCTATTGGTAGGAATTTGTGGTTAGGTACGGTAGATACTTTTAATGAAATACCTAATCTTATCATGACCCTAGCGTAGGTGGGGGGCATTGAGAGAAATGAAAAATAAAACTTTCTGACGTCATTGTTTGAAGTTAATTTTATAAACATCACTGAGTGTAAGAAGCTACCTACCTACCTACCTACTTAATACAGGCGCTACAGTTCTACACCGGTGTTATTGTAAGTGGCCACTTGACATTTTCGAATAAATTATAATTTAAAAACTTAGAATTTTTACTTTACGGCTAACTATACCTATAGATGAGCTAATAAGGGAATAGGTTTATACAAATTTGAACGTTAAGTCATAAGCAATAAGGTCGATATTATTAAGGTTGATCTTAAGAGATATTACGTTTTACATCATGAGACAGGATTATCGATCTAGAAGATGCAATGATGTTTTCGACCTTATTCCCTAGGAATAATGTTTAATATTCCATGAAATATTTTTAGGATACTCATTTAGAGCTTATAAAACAAAGTAGGTATGTATCTATCTATCCACATCCCTATACATGTTGTAGGGAGTAGGGATCTACACAAAATGTATATTATGTGCCTATGTATAGACAAGGCAAGGTCGCTACATAATAATTTGGGTAGATAGGTGCCTAGGTACCTTTCGTAGAATTCTAACTTATTTTTTTAACTTTAATTAGACAGCTTTTGTATTGTATAGGTATAGGGTGTCAATGTTTGAATGTCAATACATAGGTACTTACCGTGCACTCCAAATATTGTAGGTTCATACATCATATTTACATGTGTACAGAGAACTTGAATTAAGTAAACGATGAACAACAATCGCGTATGAAATAAATAGAGGTGCCTTCGTATCGGATACGTAATACCTATCTATCTACCTACAGCTAGTTGAACTCGTAACAGTAGGCTAAGGAGGTTGAGTGGTAATAGTTCCTACTTACTTGCAAGTAGGTTCTATAGGAAATGTAACTACGACTTACTAGTATGGGCATAGCGTCAATCGTTGCAAAAAGAACTCTTGAAATCATCAAATCATGAGTACCGGCGAAGGCGTTGGTAATCACTGTCAATCACTTCGTGTCATTTCTTGCGAAAATATACCTAATGCCCGTACTTATAAAGTCCACATTGAAGACGTTTTGTTTTTATTCACGCTCAATCTCAATAGATGACAGCAGTAAACGTACAGAAACAGTAAAGAAAGGCACCTAATTGCTTTTAGTTTGTTTGAATTTGGAACCTTCTAGAAAATTGCATTTTGATCACAATTTTCAGTCTTATGGGTTTGGGATAAAGTTCTAATTCGTTTAACGTTAAACGGTATCAGTCGAACGCATTCTACCTTAGGTTCGAATAACGGTATTAATGAAGACACTAAAAAGGGGTTTTAACCACGTGACTAGAGTCACGTGATCATCGAACTTAGATAGGGCCTAAATTACTTAAATCTTGAAATAGGAACAATGAAGTCTATAAATATTGCTACAAAGACGCGCAGTTTGTGTGAGTGAGACACTTGCGCGTGTGTGCAAATATAAAACGATGCGAAGGTAGGGAATTAGGGGCGCTACGCTTTACGAAATGCATGATACGATCGCCAGCACAAATCAACTAGGGCTGCCACTGAGATACGACAGATGCGTAGCATTGATAAATGAGTGAATGATTAAACGTTCAAAATCGTTCCGCGAATACAATAAACTTAGGGTAAGTTGACGAGGCGGGAAACAGCTTGATGATTTTTCGAGTTTGTTTAAATTGGAACCTTGCGTAAAGGAAATAAAGTTCCAAATCGTATACGCAGGGCAAGTTGCTCTTGGACGCGCCTTTTCGGATGGGAAAATTTTGCTCCGAGCGCTATCGCTAGTATAGTACGTAGGTAGGTACTCTACGTGCCCGCCACCTACTGGCGCACAGAAGTTTTTCGTTTAGTATGATGAGCTGCCGCTGACCATGATGACTCATGCATGAGTTCGCGGCAGAATATTTCATCATCATCAGTATCTGCTGAGCTTGGTCTTCAGTTCAGCCTTTAGTCTGTGTTTTCGTTACCTACAAGTACTTACACGGCTCCACCATCCACATCAATGTATTTAAAACCAGTTCATCTTGGGCCCGCTTTTTATAATCGTTACCCACATTCAACTGCCAATTTATACTGGATTTGAAAATGTAAATGTGAAGGTGCCTATACATAACTGTATTATGTGACTTAAAAAATAAATTAGAAAAAGAGGAGCGTTATGCGTTAGAACCTTAACCAGTTTAACATGCACATGTAAGTAGATTCATCTAAAACTTACGACGATAGGTAAAGAAGTACTAGAATAATGCAAAAATCGTCTTTATTGCTAATTAATATAAAAGTAAAGTAAAAAAGCTTGGGTTTAGTGCCAGAACCATCAGGATTGCTAAGCTGGGAAATATAGTCACAAAACGACTAACATGTTTTATTTACGTTTTGCTAACGAATAAATACTCAGTTATTCAAATCTATGTAGGTATAGGTACCTACCTAATCGTAATCATCGTGATGGACGGATATAGGACGCTGTCATACTTACAGGATAAGCGTAATTTAAACCAATATGGTGTGCCTTGACACCTGTTGTGTGTGTGACATGTTAACATAACACAAATAACAAACGTAATACAATTTGTAGCGCTACCAAATTACTCATGCAGGCGGACAAACTTAGAACTAACGTCAGCCTTAACAAATTCGCGTTGCACACAACCTATTCTTAATAAACTAGCGCCACTCTCAACTGTATAAATTAGTTTGTCTAATATCTATGTATGTTTATCATTGGTACATCGACTGAAATGAACATTGAAATAGTGCGTAAGTGTGAATAAGTATCACGTGACACTTTAACAGCAACATTTTCATTATATTACGCAAAATTATAGCTAAGCACTGCTTGTTTGCGCATTGTTTTTATCAATCATTCAGCCACTTCACTTTTTTTGTGCTTTGTTTGTAAAAAGGCACTACATTTACCACAGCAGGCATTAAAAACAATAAATAGTGCCTTCCTAAGTACCTTCTAGGTTTGTTTTCAAAATATACTATATTTCGTGTCTTAGGTAGCCAGCAAGTCCAGCAACTTGCCTTGTGCAAGTTTGTTTTACGTTACCACGATCGAAATGTTACACCGTTTAGCCCCCTGATTGGTTGGTTAGCTTAGAACAGGCCAATCAGAATCACGAACGTCATAAACGCGTCTTCTTGAAGTCACACGAAGCAACAACAACGCTTCCTGATAAATCTAATACCTACCAACTTGAAACTGCGACCTCCAAGTTTTCACACGCTCGCCGCGATTGGAGCCAAATCTGCACAGTCG